ACTGTTTTGTCTCCCCTCTGCTCTCAGAGCCTCCTCTGCCAGGTGCCTCGGTCATGCTGGCCCTCTGTCTCAGAAGTGAATGTACTGAGCAGGTCTTAGGGATTTATGAATGATGCTCCTGGGGCTGGAGGCAGTGGCTCACGCCTGTGATCCCAACACATTGGGAGGCCGAAACAGGAGGACCACTTGAGTTTAAGACCAGCCTGGGGAACATAGTGAGACTCTGTCCCTATACAAAATAAAAATAGGGGCCGGGTGTGGTGGCTTACGCCTGTAATCCCAGCACTTTGGGAGGCCAAGGCAGGTGGATCACAAGGTCAGGAGTTCGAGAACAGCCTGACCAACATGGTGAAACCCTATCTCTACTAAAAATACAAAAAAATAAAAAATTAGCTGGGCATAGTGGTGAGTGCCTGTAGTCCCAGCTACTGGGAAGGCTGAGGCAGGAGAATCGCTTGAACCCGGGAGGTGGAGGTTGCAGTGAGCCGAGATCACACCACTGCACTCCAGCCTGGGTGACAGAAGCAGACTCTATCTCAGAAAAAAAAAGAAAAAGAAAAGTCAGGTGTGGTGGTGCACGCCTGTGGTCCAAGCTACTCGAGGCTGAAATGGGGGGATCGCTTGAGCCTAGGCAGTCAACGCTGCAGTGAGACGTGATCTCACCACAGCACTTCAGCCTGGGTGACAAAGCCAGACCCTGTTTCAAAATAATAATAATAATAATAATAATAATGTTCTTGGATTTCCAAGGGTACAGTTTTTCAGAGCCTTCCTAGCCCTAGGTCATCAAACTATTCTTGCTTCCTTCCAAATGGCTAAGGTTTCTGGAAGATTTTCCTAACAAGAAACACACGAACTTGTCCAAAGAGCTTCCAAGAGGAATAGCAGAAAGCATTGGCTTTAACACACATAGCTTCAGGCCCTGGCCCATGTTGTGTGACCTCAGGTTAGTTACTTGGCTAACCCTGTTTCTTCATGCGGAAAGTGTAGGAGACAATACCTACCTTCCCAGGCTGCCCTGGATTAGCACAATATGTGCACGTACAGCCTGGCAGAGCACTCACCCAGATCAGCAATAGCAATGTGTGCCCTCCACTCAGTCCCAGCCACATCCTGATTCTCCTGTTTTATGTTAAGTCCTTTCTTAACATGTACCTCCCAGCACTAGAGCATTAGCTCCTTAATTTGGGGGCACATTTTATCTTTGTATCCTCACTGCCTACTGCAGGCCTGCCAAAAGCATCTGTAGAATGAATAAATGAATACATAAATGCATTTTTTGTTATGGATTTAAATATTAATGTTTCATACTTGAATTTTAGATTCAAGAGTTGGAAAAAAACGGAGATCTAGCCAAAATGCTGGCAAACAGGAAATGGTTAATGAAGCAGTAGAGTATGTGTGTAGTAGTAGAAACATGTGTTTTTCATTCTCATTACTGTTTCAGGACTAGGCTAATAATGTAAGCCAAATGGAGTGTGGTTAAGGGTTTTGGGTCTGGAGTCCACACAGTCTGCCTTTCAGGTTCAGTTTCTGCAGTTTACTAAGTGTGACCTTCGGCCAGTTACTTAATCTCTCTAAGCCTTTTCTGTCATCTACAAAATGAAGATATTAATAGTACTACTTATAGCATATAAATGTTGAGACTTAAATAAATTGTGGTTCATACCTGTAATCCTGGCACTTTGGGAGGCTGAGGCGGTTGGATCACTTGAGCTCAGGAGTTTGAGACCAGCCTGGCCAACATAGCAAAACCCTATCTCTACAAAAAATACAAAAATTAGCTATGTGTGGTGGTGTACACCTATAGTGAGTCCCAGCTCCTTGGGAGGCTGACGTGAGAGGATTGCTTGACCCTGGGAGGTGGAGGTTGCAGTGAGCTGAGATTACATCACTGCACTCCAGCCTGGGCCACAGAGTAAGACTGTCTCAAAAAAACAACAAAAAAGAAACAACAAAAAAGTACAATAGTTCACGTAAAACACTTGGTACAAGGCTCAGGGAAAAGGAAGGATTCTCACCGAATGTCCATTATGTTTAGTAAAACATACTTTCACCTAAAGATTATACAAGTGCCCTCTGTCTTTGGCTGTGTTTTTGTTTTAGAAAAACCTTCTCAAGTTCAAGGACCTGGTCTCTCTCCATTTATCAAGCACTTACTTTAAGTCAAACAGCCTGCTAGGTTTGGAAAACAGAAATAAAAGATGTGTCCTGCCCTTAAGGAGTTACAACTTATGGAGAAACAGTGTCTACTTACACAATGGTATGGTTAGGGCCATGAATCATTGGTTCTCAAAGTCAAAAACATTGACACTTGACCGCTGGGGACGGGGGTGGGTAACAGAAGGCTGGTGTGAGCCTTGAAGGTGTGAAGCTTTGAACCAAACGAGAAACGGAGAAAGGAGTTTACACAGAAGGGAGAACTCATGCAAAGCTACTGAGTGATTTTTCAGGACTGTCTGAGACAGGGTCTCGCTCTGCCACCCAGGCTGGAGTGCAAGGGCGCGCAATTTCAGTTCACTGCAACCTCCCCTTCCTGGGTTTAAGAAGCGAAACTCTGGCCGGGCACGGTGGCTCACCCCTCTAATCCCAGCACTTTGGGAGGCCAACGCGGACGGATCACGAGGTCAGGAGATAGAGACCATCCTGGCTAACACGGTGAAACCCCGTCTGTACTAAAAATACAAAAAATTAGCCAGGTGTGGTGGCGGCGCCTGTAGTCCCAGCTACTCGGGAGGCTAAGGCAGGAGAATGGCGTGAACCCGGGAGGTGGAGCTTGCAGTGAGCCAAGATCGCGCCACTGCACTCCAGCCTGGGTGACAGAGCGAGACTCTATCTCAAAAAAAAAAAAAAAAAAAAAAAAAGAGGTGAAACTCCAGCCGTGCGCGGTGGCTCACACCTGTAATCCCAGCACTTCGGGAGGCCGAGGCAGGCGGATCATGAGGTCAGGTGATCAACACCATCCTGGCTAACACGGTGAAACCCCATCTCTACTAAAAATACAAAAAATTAGCCAGGTATCGTGACGGGCGCCTGTAGTACATATAACCACTTCTTTCCTGAATGGAAGTTTCAGTCTTTGTAGCAGGCGTCCCAATTATTCTGGCTCCCATCTGCCAACTCGATCCATTGTTTTTTTTTTTTGAGACAGTGTCTTGCTCTGCAGCCCAGGCTGGAGTGCAGTGGGCGATCTCGGCTCACTACAAGCCCCGCCTCCTGGGTTCACGCCATTCTCCTGCCTCAGCCTCCCAAAGTAGCTGGGACTACAGGCGCCCGCCACCACGCCCGGCGAGTGGTTTTTTTTTTGTATTTTTAGTAGAGACGGGGTTTCACCGTGTTAGCCAGGATGGTCTTGATCTCCTGACCTTGTGATCCGCCCATCTCGGCCTCCCAAAGTGCTGGGATTACAGGCTTGAGCCACCGTGCCCGGCCCAGGATCCATTCTTAAAGAGATCTACCAATCTGGGCAGTAAGAAGGCTGGGCCCCATAACCTCTAAAGTCCAAAATTAGCCAGGCCTGGTGGTGTGTGCATCTGTGGTCCTAAGCTACTCAGGAGGCTGAGGTAGGAGTTTTGCTTCTTGTTTATCTTTTTTTTTTTTTTTTGAGACGGAGGCTCGCTGTCGCCCAGGCGGAGTGCAGTGGCACGATCTCCGCTCACTGCAAGCTCTGCCTCCTGGGTTCACACCATTCTCCTGCTTCAGCCTCCCTAGTAGCTGGGACTACAGGTGCGCGCCACCATGAGCAGTTATTTTGTATTTTTTTTTTTTTTTTTTTAGTAGAAACGGGGTTTCACTATATTGGTCAGGCTAGTCTTGAACTCCTGACCTCGTGATCCACCTGCCTCAGCCTCCCAAAGTGCTGGGATTACAGCCACCACAAGCGGCGCCATTGGCTAGAGTTCTATAGGCTTGATGGGAGTACATGATCTCTATGATCCAGCATCAAATCCAGGGGTATGTTTTGCAGATACTTTTTTAGTGACTGAATAAAATCTTAATTGTAAAGTTGGTTCTACTGTCACTCTTTGATTGTTCTTTGGGCAACAGATTAGAAGATACTATGAATTTTCCTAGGCAAGAGGGTCAGAAAGGGAAAGCAAAGTATTTTGGGGATGAAATGAGGTCTGTGAGGCAGGTCTGGCAGTCCCACAGAGGATTCTACTCCTCACCCCACCCTCAGCAGTCTAGGTGTTGTTTTATTCTTTATGAAACTGCAACACAGTCAACTTTTTTTTTTTTTTTTTTTAAAGAGGGTGTTTGTCACCCAAGCTGGAGTGTAGCAGTGGGATCATGGCTCACTGTAGTCTCAATCTCAGGCTCCCGAGTAGCTGGGACTACAGGTGCATACCACCACACTACTCTAATTTTTTGAAAATCAGATGCAGTGGCTCATGCCTGTAATCCCAGCATTTTGGAAGGCCAAGGCAGGCAGATCACCTGAGATCAGGAGTTTGAGACCAGGCTGGCCAACACAGTGAAAACCTGTCTCTACTAAAAATAACAAAACAAAAAAAAATTAGCTGGGCATGGTTGTGCACGCCTGTGATCCCAGCTACTTGGGAGGCTGAGTCAGGAAAATCGCTTGAACCCACAAGGCAGAGGTTGTGGTGAGCCATGATCATGCCACTGCACTCCAGCCTGGGCAATACAGCAAGATTCCATCTCCAAAAAAAAAAGGGGTCTCACTATATTGCCCAGGCTGGTCTCAAACGATCGATCCTCCTGCCTCAGCTTTCCAAAGTATGGAATACAGGTGTGAACCACCACACCCAGATGTATTTTTAAAATAATTCAACGTATTACACTAAATTTATCCAAGTGACATATTTGAGGCAAGCAAGACTGCTGACCTAACAGCCCATGCTACCAGCTACCTGAGACCCACGATCTACCATCAGACCACAGCCAGTTCCCACTGCAGTGAAATAACATGAAAGTCTTTATCAATTGAGCAGTTTCTAATGTGAGAGTCAACACATCTGAAACACGAAGTTGAACGGTGGAAATTCAGTAAGTACTTTATTTATGAGTAAGGCTGTACAGGATTCAACAGTGTCTAATTCGAGTCTCATATATGATAGCTAAAATTTTTAAACGAGCAATTCAGCTTACGGTGAAATATATTTTCATCCAATCTTTTATGCTATATCATACCTCAGGCTTTTTAAAAATTATTTTTGAGATGAAATTTTAAAGTTCCCCCAGTACCCTGGTTACCATATTATAAAGATAGTGAAATACAAAAATGTAATAAAGATAGTGAAATACAAAAATGTAACAAATACAAACACACTGTGATTAATAGCTGTTTATTAGCTTTTTAATAAAGCAAAACTTTATAGTGAAATAAACTAGAAATAGCTTTTTATTTTATATATTTATTTTTGAGATGGGGTCTTGCTCTGTTGCCCAGGCTGGAGTGCAGTGGCACGATCTTGGCTCACTGCAGCCTCTGCCTTCACCTCCTGGGTTCAAGGAATTCTCCCACCTCAGCCTCCCATGTAGCTGGGATTACAGGCATGTGCTGCCATGCCCGGCTAATTTTTGCATTTTTAGTAGAGACGGGGTTTCACCATGTTGGCCAGGCTGGTCTCGAACTCCTGACCTCAGGTAATCCACCCACCTTGGCCTCCCAAAGTGCTGGGATTACAGGCATGAGCCACCATGCCCGGCAAAATACCTTTTTAAAAGCTTTTAAAATGATATGCTTATAAAATGACAGACATGAGTGAAACATTCTCAATGACGATAATACACAAGTCACAAGTTTTCTGTGAGTGAAGCCGAGCAGTACAGAGTCAGGCTGACTGTTGAAAAGCCAGATTTACTTCTTGATATCACTGACCTCTTACTCTGAAATTGTGCCAGAGGAGCTTCTAAGTATCCCTGGTCTCAAGTTTAATAATGCAAAACTTCCACTTTATCATCTAAAGTTTTGGAGAGGAATCCCTTTGGCACTAATGATATCTACTCCAGCACCATCTCTCCTTTTTGGTGCCTCTTCATTCTTGAGTAGGGACTTATTGTATCATCCATCACAAAATCATACAGTACTTTTATCCAGGAATTGTAGTGGGGGAGGTTGTCATAGTATTCAGCTGCTATTTTCCTCACCTAGAAGGGAAAAAAATACAGCAAGATGAAAAATGAGTATTACTGGGTTCTTTCAAAGATGACTGATGAATGGTTGATACAAACACTGAGAAGGGAAACCATGAGACCTGCCTCCCTCCTCTCTCTTAAAAAATAAAAGCAGCAGCAGCAGCAGCAGCAGAGGCAATTCTAAACAAAAAGCAGTCTACATTTCAGTAGCAGTTGAATACACTCGACCCTCTAGGACTCTCTTCCATCACGTTCCAAGGGACTAAATTCCTGGCTTATTTGTAAAATTAACAACGAATACATGCAATTAGATTAACTTGATATTATTAAAGAATGTACTGCATGGATGACACCGTAGAATATAAAGGCAACATCTGATCCCTGCCATCCAGGAACTTACAAATACTTATAAATAAATTGTGGCATGCTAATTAGATACAAATTAAGCAGTTGGCTGGGTGTGGTGGCTCACAACTGTAATCCCAGGACTTTGGGAAGCCAAGGCGGGTGAATCACCTGAAGTCAAGAGATCAAGACCAGCCTGACCAATATGGTGAAACCCCCATCTCTACTAAAAATAACAAAAAAATTAGCCAGACATGGTGGCATGCGCCTGCAGTCCCAGCAACTCAGGAGGCTGAGACAGGAGAATTGCATGAACCCGGGAGGTCGAGGCTGCAGTGAGCTGAGATTATGCCACTGCACTCCAGCCTGGGTGACAGACTCCACCTCAAAAAAAAAAAAAAAAAAGGCAAGCTTTATCAAGTATGCAATTCTGCCATCTCAAGTTAAAAATGTCTCTACATCTCAAGTTAAATAACTATCTGGATGGGCACAGTGGCTCGTACGTATAATCCCAGCATTTTGGAAGGCAGGAGAATCACTTGAGCCCAGGAATTTGAGACCAGCCTGGGCAACACAGGGAAACCCCATCTCTCTTTTTTTTTTGAGATGGAGTTTCGCTCTGTCACCCAGGCTGGAGCGCAGTGGCACGATCTTGGCTCACTGCAACCTCTGCTGCCTGGGTTCAAGCGATTCTCCCGCCTCAGCCTCCCAATTATATATAGGCGCCCGCCACCATGCCCAACTGATTTTTTTGTATTTTTAGTAGAGACGGGGTTTCACTATGTTGACCAGGTTGGTCTCGAACTCCTGACCTCAGATGATCCACTCACCAAGGCCTCCCAAAGTGCTGGGATTACAGGTGTGAGCCACTGCACCCATCCAGGAAACCCCATCTCTACAAAAACATTTAAAAATTTAAATAAACCATTTGGAAGATTAAAAGAAATTATTTTAAAAATTAGCCTGTCATAGCATGTGCCTGTAGTCCTAGCTACTTGGGAGGCTGAGGCAGGAGGATCACTTGAATCCAGGAGTTTGAGACCAGCCTGAGCAACATAGCAAGACTCTGCCTCTACAAAAAATAAAAAAATTAGCCAGGCACAGTGGCACGTGCCTATAGTCCTGCCTACTCAGGAGGCTGAGGTGGGAGGATCGCTTGAACCCAGGAGTTGAGGCTGCAGTGAGCTATCGCACCACTGCACTCTAGCCTAGGTGACAGGGCAAGACCCTGTCTCTAAAAAAAAAAAATTAAAAATAAATCCTAAGTGTAACCACTAAGCTTAAGGACCCAAGAGTGAACCCTTTGTAAAATTAGGCTGGAAGATGCAGTATTTATATTCTTGCTTTTTTTTTTTTTTTTTTAATGAGCAGCTTGGACTGACAAAATACTAGCCTGGCCAACATGATGAAACCCCATCTCTACTAAAAATACAAAAATCAGCTGGGCACGGTGGCATGCGCCTGTAATCCCAACTACCTGGGAGACTGAGGCATGAGAATCACTTGAACCTGGGAGGTGGAGGTTACAGTAAGCCGAGACCGTGCCACTGCACTCCAGCCTGGGTGACTGAGTGAGACACAGTCTCAAAAAACAAACAAAAAAACGAAATTAGAATATGTATCAAATCCTTTACTTACCAGTGGAAGGCTTTTTCCAGGAATGTTGGGGAAGTCATGATGTTCATTATGATAACCTACATTGAAGGTAAATAAATTCAGAGGCCCATAATATGAGTAAGTTTCGTGACCCTTTAAGAACATGTAATGCTCAGCTATAAAATGTCCAGAAATCGGGTGCAAACCCAGGCCAAGTAAAGATGCTGCCAACATGTAGACTAAGGATTTAATTCCCAAAAAGTAATAAATTAAAATGTCAAATGTGACCTGGGCCACGATATTGATAACTTCCAAATAAGTAATTGGTTTGGGGTTGATGAATAGAGGTCGAAAGGCATAGAAGAGAGGCTGAAGAATAACCCATATAAACTTTCTGAAAGTGGTACAGAAGAACCAGCCCTCAAAATCGGTAGGAATATCTACATCGACGCCATCAGCTCCAAGGTACCGGTGATGATCCATGTGATATCTCTTAAAGGAAATTGAATATGGAACCCCAATAGGAAGATTAGCAAACATTCCAAACCAGCGATTCCACATTGCTTTGCAGTTGCCAAAGGCAGCATTGTGGGAAATCTCATGAATAGCCAGAGTCATTGAGTGGTTAATGCAACTGCCAAACACATAGGCCCCAAATATGACCCATTTCCAGTCCAAGTCTTTTACTATGTAAAATGCAGCCAACTGGGTGAGAAACATCATAATTATAATCCATATCAAATTGGGATCAGGTTTCATCAAGGACTTTATCTCTGGATACTTTGCTGTAAAGAAAAAACAAAAAAACAGGAACTAAGAAAACTATATAATAGTTCAGCAATTATAATTAAATTAACACCCATTAAAGTAACACATTAAATTTGTTCTGCAAATAATATTCCCTTTACTAGATACTTTAGTTAATACTAATAACACAGGGAAGGATTCTTCTACTAGTAAAGTTACGAAATATGTCACAAACATTTGCAAATTTATGCAGGAAAAATTAGCCTCAAACTTTTAGAAGTTCCACATTTTTTGTATTAAAATGTGTGTTATTTCTGTGTTTAGACAGAGGTACAGCATTCTTACCTTATATAAAACAATTAAATTAACACATCTGACAAAGGATAGAATATAATATGCATTTTGTAGTTACCCTAAAATCATGAAACTCGTATTCACAGTTCTCTCAGACAAATCAACATGCTCCAAGTAATTCTGTACTGAATTTTCCAAAGTTGTAATAGTATATAAAAACCAATACTACAGGCTGCCAATATAATCAGGGAAAGAACAGTCCTTTCAACAAATGGTGCCACAACAACTTGTTAGCAACAGGCAAAAGAATGGATTCGGACCCCTACCTCACACCACACACAAAAATGAACTCAAAACAGATCACAGACCCAAATTTATAAGAAAACTATAAAACTCTGATAAGAAAACAGAAATAAATCTTCATGGCCTTTGTGGTTCCTTAGATACTATAACAAGTACAAGTGACAAAAGAAAACAGAGAAATTGGACTGCATCAAAAACTCTTCTGTTGCAAATGATACTGTCAAGAAAGTGAAAAGATATCCACAGAAGCGGGGTTATGTTTGCAAATCATGTATCTCATAAGGGACCTATATCCAGAATATATGAAGAACTCTTACAACTAATAATCCAATTAAAAAATGGGCAAAGGATCTCAAAAGACATTTCTCCAAAAGATATGAAAACAGTCAAGAAACACATGAAAGATGCTCAACATCGTTAGTCATTAGGAAAGTGCAAACTGAAACCACAGATACCACTTCACACTCACTAGGATGACTATAATAAAAAAAAAAGTAGGTAAAAACAAGGATGTGGAGAAATTAGAACCCTCATACTTTGCTGGTGGAAATGTAAAATGGTGCAGCTGCTTTGGAAAACTGTAGAGCAGTTCCTCAAAATGTTGAACACCTGGTATATCCATACAAAGGAATATTATTCAGCCACAAAAAGGAATGACACACTGACACGTGCTACAACATGAATGAACCTTAAAATATTTATATTTAGAAACAGGGTCTACCTCTGTCACTCAGGCTGAAGTACAGTGGTGCCATCATAGCTCACTACAGCCTCAAACTCCTGGACTCCAGTGATCCTCCTACCTTAGTCACCATAGTAGCTGGGACTACAGGAGCATGTCACTGTGCCCAGCTAAAATCTTATGCTAATGGCTGGGTGCAGTGGCTCACACCTATAATGCCAGCACTCTGAGAGGCCAAGGCAGGAGGATCGGTTGAGCCCAGGAATTCAAGATCAGCCTGGGCAACATAACAGGACCCTGTCTCTACAAAAAAAAAAAAAAAAAAATTAAAAATTAAAAAATTTTATATTATGCTAAGTGAAAGCCAATCATAAAAGATCATATATTTTATGATTTCATGTATATGAAATGTCCAGAATCAGCAAATCTATAGACCACAAAGTAAATTAGTGGTTATCTAGGTAGAAGTAGGGGATATGAGGGACTGCTAATGAGTATAGGGTTTCTTTTGTGATGATGAAATGTTCTAAAGTTACATGGTGGTGACAGCTGCATAACTCTGTGAATATACTAAAAAAATACTGAACTGTACACTTTAAATGAATAAATCATGATAGTTGAATTATAATCTCAACAAAGCTATTGGCCAGCTGCTGTGGCTCACACCATTAATCCCAGCACTTTGGGAGGCTGAGGCATGAAGACTGCCTGAGGCCTGGTGTTCGAGACCAGCGTGGGCAACAGAGACTATTTCTACCAAAAATAAAAAAACATTAGCTGAGGTGAGGTGGCACAAGCCTGTAGTCCCAGCTACTTGGGCGCTGAAGTGGGAGCATCACTTGAGCCCAAGAATTTAGGCTGTACTCCAGCCTGGGCAACACAGTGAGACTCTGTCTCAAAAAATAAAACATTAAAAAACTGTATCACTGAGAAAGTACAGCAGTGAAGGAAGCATTTCTTGTGATTTATTCTTTTTTTTCAGACGGAGTCTCACTCTGTTGCCCAGGCTGGAGTGCAATGGTGCAATCTCAGCTCACTGCAACCTCTGCCTCCTGGGTTCAAGCAATTCTCCTGCCTCAGCCTTCCCAGTAGCTGGGATTATAGGCGCCCGCCACCACGCCCAGCTAATTTTTGTATTTTTAGTAGAGACGGGGTTTCACCATGTTGGCCAGGCTGGTTTTGAACTCCTTACCTCAGGTGACCTGCCCACCTCAGCCACCCAAGGACTGGGATTACAGCCATGAGCCACCCAGTCCAGCTCATCCTCACTAATTTCAAAGAGATACCTTACAAATGAACTTTTAATGTGAACTCTAAATGTAAACTTAAAGTGTACAAATGTTGGTTGTTCTATCAGGCCCCTTCCCTCCCCTGCCAAAAAACTGAACACTTTCAGAAAGATCTCTTATCATTTGTGTATAATTTAAACAAATCTAAAGATTCTTCTCTTTCTACAGATTATTCCATCTCCCACCCTGAAAGAGAACACTGGTATTTACACCTGCATGGAAAACGTACTTTCATTGAGAAATAAGTAGTCCTTTTACTTTCCAAGTGAAATGGTTCAGTGATAAGTTTGTGGAGGAAAAAAGGCTCAGTGTGAGGTATTAATCAGCACCTTCTTACTTCCTTCATTTCTTTTTTTTTTTTTTTTTTTTTTTTGAGACAGTCTCACTCTTTTGCCCAGGCTGGAATGCAGTGAGGCAATCACGGCTCACTGCAGCCTCTACTTCCCCAGCTCAAGTGATCCTCCCACCTCAGCCTTTTGAGTAGCTGGGACCACAGGCACATGCCACCATGCCCCACTAATTAAATTTTTTTTTTTTTTTTTAGAGAGAGGGAAAGGTTTCACCATGTTGCCCAGGTTGGTCTCAAACTCCTGAGTTCAAGTGTTCCTCTCGCCTCAGCCTTCTAAGTAGCACGACACAGGCATCACGCCTAGCTAATTTTTTAATTTTTCATGGAGATGGGGCTGTTCTGAACTGGCCTCAAGAGATCATCTTGCCTCAGTTTCTCAAAGCGCTGGGATTACAGGCAAAAGCCACCACACCTGTCCTGATTTTCAGAATATTAAATAGCTCAGCTTCAGTATTCCAGAGTTGGTTTTTACACAGGTAGGCACCAGATTATTCCTATGTAACATGTAGATAAGGCATTGATAAAATGTATCATATGTGGCCTGGCAGGGTGGCTCATGCCTGTAATCCCAGCACTTTGGGAGGCCATGGCAGGCAGATCATCACAGGTCAGGAGTTCCGAGACCAGCCTGGCCAATGTGGCAAAACCGTGTCTCTACTAAAAATAAAAATAGAAAAACTTAGCCAGGTGTGGTGGCGGGCATCTGTAATTCCAGCTACTCGTGAGGCTGGGGCAGGCAGAACTGCTTCAACCCGGGAGGCAGAGTTTGCAGTGAGCCGAGATTGGGTCACTGCACTCCAGCCTGGGTGACAAAATGAGACTCCGTCTCAAAAAAAAAAAAAAAAAGTATCATGCTATCTCATATCAAGTATGTGTAAGTGATTTGCCAAACAAATTACTACTAGCAGGCTGAGGTATGCCCATCACTTGAGCCCAGGCTGCCGTGATCATCATGCCTGTGAACAGCCACTGCACCCCAGCTTAAGCAACAAAGCAAGACCCTGTCTCTAATGGAGTGTAGGGGAGGAGGAAGGGAATTCAAGAACCGAAATTTACCGGGTGCAGGGGCTTACGCCTTTAAAATCTCAGCACTTTGGGAGGCCAAAGCGGACGGACTGCTTGAGCCCAGGAGTTCAAGACCAGCCTGGGCAACACGGAGAAACCCATCTCTACAAAAAAACAGAAAAATCAATCGGGCATAGTGGTATGTGCTTGTGGTCCCAGCTACTCGCTTTTTCTTTTCACTGGGCAAATGAATGTTGAGAAGAAAATCTAATGAAATACTGTATATAAGGAATAATGTCTCATGTTCAACTCACCGTTTCCTCGATTTAAAAAAATTTTGCGCGTGCGTGTAAATGGGGGTCTCACTGTGTTTACTCAGGATGGTCTCAACTCCTGGGCTGAAGCGATCCTCCCGCCTCGGCCTCCCAAAGTGCTGGGATTACAGGCCTGAGCTACCGTGACCATGGTCTCAACTCCTGGGCTGAAGCAACCCTCCCACCTCGGCCTCCCAAAGTACTGGGATTACAGGCCTGAGCTACCGTTTCCTCAATTTTTGAAGAAACAGTATAGGTTAAAAAGCTCGTGATCGGCCGGGCACGGTGGCTCACGCCTATAATCCCAGTACTTTGGGAGGCTGAGGTGGGCGGATCACAAGGTTAGGAGCTCGAGACCATCCTGGCTAAAACGGTGAAACCCTGTCTCTACTAAAAATACAAAAAATTAGCCGGGCGTGGCTGTGTGCGCCTGTAGTCCCAGTTACTCGGGAGGCTGAGGCAGGAGGATGGCGTGAACCCGGGAGGCGGAGATTGCAGTGAGCCGAGATCGCGCCACTGCACTCCAGCCTGGGTGACACAGCGAGACTCTGTATCAAAAAAAAAAAAAAAAAAAAAGAAAGCTCATGCTCTGGCCGAGCACAGTGGTTCACGCCTGTAATCCCAGCACTTTGGGAGGCCAGGTCGATCCTGAGGTCAGGAGTTCGAGACAAGACTGGTCAACACGGTGAAACCCTGTCTCTACTAAAAAAAAAAAAAAAAAAAAAAAGTTAGCCAGGCGTGGTGGTGGGCGCCTGTAATCCCAGCTACTCAGGAGGCTGAGGCAGGATAATCTCTTGAACCCAGGAGGCAGATGTTGCAGCGAGGAGAGATCGCGCCACTGCACTCCAGCCTGAGCAACAGAGACTTGTCTCAAAGAAATAAACAAAAACCAAACACATGCTCTGGAAGAGGCAACTGAATGCGCATTAGAATCTCTTTAGCATTCAGTCAGGCGTTCTTATTTCATTTTTTAAAACAGCGATAATACCAACCTAGTAGAATTACCAGGAGGATGAAATTGGGTAATGTTTGTAAAGCATTCCACGCAATCCCTGGTATATTAGGAGTAACCTGGGAGAGATGAGCATTCTCTATATAACACAGAAGGCCCGAATCCTCTGGAGAGTTAAGTGCTCTCAATAAGCTGTCAGGGGACCAGCGGGCCACGCCACGTATTTTCCCTATTTGGCAAGTCTTCCATTTTCAGTCTTTTCATCCACAAAACCGAGATGGATGAAATATGTCTACGAATCCGCCGTTCTTACGTCCCAGGCTTGCCGTGAGGATCAATAGGACAAGCGGCGTAAACTGACCAGGACCCATCCAGTCCGAGAAGCCCCAGGGGGCATAGGGAGGGTCGCCGGCCCCCCTCCCCGGGCCCGAGGCCGGGACTGCGGCCGCCCCCGCCAGTACTGCCCGCTAGCGCCCGACACCATGAGCCAGGCTCACGGGTAGGCCCCGGGATGCCCAGGACCACACCCTGCCCCGCACTCTGGCAGCCCCGGCGCCAGCACACGCTCACCTCGGCCCGCTCCGGAGGAGGGGGAGGAGGGAGAGGAAAGGGCGCCCATCTGAGGGCACAGGAATCTTCCAGCGCGAGGATCTAACCCAAGGCTGGCGCAGCCGGGGTCACCCTTCGCCCCAACCGGCCGGCGTGGGCCTGACGGGGACTCCCGCGCTCGGGGACGCGCCTGCGCCTCTTCGCGGAAGGGTCGGAGCTGCGCGGCCCCAAGGACCCGTCCCTCCCCCGTGCCTCGCCCAGCCTCTCCCGCGCTGACCCGCGGGCTGGCGGCCCCAGCGGCGGCGGGACGCGGCGGGGAGCGGGCTGCTAACTGGCCTCCGGCGCCCACGGCCACGCAGGGCCCGCGAGGGGAGAGCGCGCCCCGGCGCCGGGAGGCCGCGCACGCACATAACGGGGCGCCCGCTGGCCCTCACCCAGGATCTCCCGGCGCCGGTCGGCGTGGGGCTGGTCGGTGTAGACCCACTCGAAGTCTTCCCGCGACACGCGGCTCCCCATGGCGGCGGAGGTGGCTCGCAGGCTCGCTGTCGGCTCTCGCTCCTGGCCGTCTCCTCAGAGGTGGCTGCGGCGGCTTCCCGACTCGTGTGGTGTCGGCCGACTGCGGCGGAGCGCGGAGGAGACGGAGGCGTGGGCGGAGTCCCGAGGCCCCGCCCCTCGCGGCCCGCCCGCCTCCCTGGGTGGAGGGCGCGTGGCGCTCCCGGGTGTCAGTGCGGTGCTGGCTCTCAGCAATTCTGGGAGGCTGGGTTCTGAGTTTTGGTGACTTGGCCACCAGCCAGGATGCCGCGTTCTTGCGAGTGCCCGCCCCTGAGGCCTGCTGCCCCGGAGCCCGGAGAAGATGCAAAAGGGAGGAAAGGTCTCAAGTGAGATAAACCTGCCGCCTTAGCGCCTCCGCGAGTGGAGCACCGGGCACAGCTGCGATCACACCGAGTCTGGAGGTGCCGGAGCCCTTCTTAAATGGCAGCTGGCCTAAGTTTTGTTTAATTTTTAAAAGCAAATTAGCCATTGGGTCATATTTCGCTGCCTTCTAGAAATAATGCCTCAGGGAAAAAATGCAGAGTGCGTGACAATTAAAAGCTAATCAAGTAAAACACCATTGTTAAGAGGGGGAGATGATATGGGATTTGTTGTTGTGCTTGAATTATTGTAGAGTGACCATGTTTGTGAAGAGATGATTGCTCAACCTTTCATCTATCTGTCGCAGAAGTAATCAACCACAACCTCTTCCTGAAAGAAATGTTTTGAAACCAAACTAATTTTGTTTCAACATTAGCTACCACGTCTACATCAAAGAGCAACTTAAGGATTACAAAAAGAAGATAACCAAAGCGGGTGTGCCTCCTAATCAACATGCTGTTCACGCACACACGGCACACACACACACACACACACACACACACACAAAAATCTGATCAAGCCCCTAGATCTGACTGCTAATTTATTGAAAATAGAAAGGACATTTGGCCGGGTGCGTTGGCTCACGCCTGTAATCCCAGCACTCTGAGAGGCCGAGGCGGGTCCATCACCTGAGGTCGGAAGTTCGAGAGCAGCCTGAGCAGTAGGGTGAAACCCCGTCTCTACTAAAAATATAAAAATTAGCTGGGCATGGTGGCAGGCGCCTGTAATCCCAGCTACTCAGGAGGCTGAGGCAGGAGAATCGCTGGAACTGGGAGGCAGAGGTTGCAGTGAGCTGAGATGGAGCCACTGCACTCCAGCCTGGGCAACAGACTGAGACTCCTTCTCAAGAATAAAAAGAAGGCCGGGCGCGGTGGCTCAAGCCTGTAACCCCAGCACTTTGGGAGGCCGAGGCGGGCGGATCACGAGGTCAGGAGATCGAGACCATCCTGGCTAACACGGTGAAACCCCGTCTCTACTAAAAATACAAAAAGAAATTAGCCGGGCGTGGTGGCGGGCGCCTGTAGTCCCAGCTACTCCGGAGGCTGACGCAGGAGAATGGCGTGAACCCGGGAGGCGGAGCTTGCAGTGAGGCGAGATCGCGCCACTGCACTCCAGTCTGGGCGACAGAGCTAGACTCCGTCTCAAAAAAAAAAAAAAAAAAAAAAAAAGAATAAAAAGGAAATAAAATAGAAAGGACAGAGAAATGTGTTAAACTGGGCCACGGGGATGAAACTAGCAAGATCCAACTCTGGGAGGCTCTATATAGGACAATGTCTGGGTTCTGTAATAAATAAAATTCAAGGAAAAAAAAAGAGAAGAGAAACCTATAGATTAAAAGGAGTTTAAAAGACATACAAACCCATTGCATGTGTTGACCCTATTTAGATTCGGATTGAAATAGTTTTAAAACATTGACATGAAATAATTGAACTCAAATATCAATTGGATATGTGATGACGTTAAGGAATTATCAGTTTCTTTTTTTTTTTTTTTTTTTTTTTTTTTTTGAGACGGAGTCTTGCTTTGTCACCCAGGCTAGAGTGCAGTGGCCGGATCTCAGCTCACTGCAAGCTCCGCCTCCCAGGTTCACGCCATTCTCCTGGCTCAGCCTCCCGCGTAGCTGGGACTACAGGCGCCCGCCACCTCGCCCCGCTAGTTTTTTGTATGTTTTAGTATAGACGGGGTTTCACCATGTTAGCCAGGATGGTCTCGATCTCCTGACCTCGTGATCCTCCCGTCTCGGCCTCCCAAAGTGCTGGGATTACAGGCTTGAGCCACCGCGCCCGGCCTGGAATTATCAGTTTCTTAAGTGTGATAATAATATTATGTTTATAGTGGGTTTTATTTTTTTGAGATAGAGTCTTGCTCTGTTGCCCAGGCTGGAGTGCAGTGGTGGCCTCATGTCTCACTTCAGCCTTGACCTGAGCTTAAGCCATCCTCCCACCTCAGCCTCCCGAGGAGCTGGGATCACAGGCGTGCACCACCATCCCTGGAATTTTTTGGCAGAGTCGGGGTCTCACCTTGTTGCCCAGGTTGGTCTCAAACTCTTGGGCTCAAGTGATCTCAAAGTATTGGGATCACAGGCATGAGCTACCACATCCAACCCCAGGAGCATTATTAGTAAATCCCTAAGACCTGCTCAGTACATTCACTTCTAAGACAGAGGGCCAGCACGGCTGAGGCGTCTAGCAGAGAAGGCTCTGAGAGCAGAGGGAAGACAAAACAATGACACCTGGAGTGGAGGCCTGAAGGCTCATCAGAGCCCAGCAAGGGTTATGTCTGCAGGGCATGCTAGCAAATGCAGGGCTGGGACAGCCTCGGGAGGGTCCCAGTGTCGAAAAAGGAGTAGGATTTGATGATGGATAGATACACAAGTCTGATCATGCAGGAGCTTTTCAGTTGTTAACAACATGGTGGAGGAAAAAGAAGGTGGGGAGCGTCACCTGGAAAAGGACAGCTTTGTATTTGCCAAGTTTCCTCTGGATTGGCAGATGGCACATGAAGCTGATAATTGGACTCAACTGAGGAGGAAGTTTTCAGGTGCTGACAAGTAAATGCATCCTTGCAGTTCAGAACGCAGTTTCTATCACAGGCATGTGTGAACTGGCACACCAGTCCAAAAGCAGGCCAGGTGCTCGTGTCTGTATTCTGAGCACTTTGGGAGGCCGAGGTAGGGGGATCACTTGAGGGCAGGGGTTTGGGACAAACCTGGGCAAAATGGCGAAAACCCACCTCTGTACAAAAATACAAAAATTAGGCCAGGTACGGTGGCTCACGCCTATAATCCCAGCACTTTGGGAGGCCAAGGTGGGCGGATCACAGGGTCATGAGATCCAGACTATCCTGGCTAACACGGTGAAACCCTGTCTCTACTAAAAATACAAATAATTAGCCAGGCGTGGTGGCGGATGCCTGTAGTCCCAGCTACTTGGGGGGCTGAGACAGGAGAATGGCGTGAACCCAGGAGACAGAGCTTGCAGTGAGCCAAGATTGCGCCACTGAATTCCAGCCTGAGCGACAGAGCCAAACTCCCTCTCAAAAAAAAAAAATTAACTGGGCGTCGTGGCCCATGCTTGTGGTCCCACCTATTGGTGAGGCTGAGGTGGGAAGATTGCTTGAGCCCAGGAGGTCGAAGCTTCAGGGAGCTGAGAAATGAGCTGAGACTGTGGCACTGCACTCTAGCCTGTGTGACAGAGTGAGGCTTTGTCTCAAAAACATTAAAAAATAAATAAATAAAAGGAAAAAGAAAGAAAAATGCAGAGTTTGAAAAAAAAATGTGGATTTGGACATACCTTTTTTTTTCTTTTGAGACAGAGTTGCGCTCTGTTGCCCAGGCTGGAGTGCAGTGTCACGATCTTGGCTTACTGCAACCTCTGCCTCCTGGGTTCAAGCGATTCTCCTACCTCACCCTCCCGAGTAGCCGGATTACAGTCGTGTGCCACCACATCCAGTTACTTTTTGTTTTTTTAGTAGAGACAGGATTTCACCATGTTGGCCAGGTTGGTCTTGAACTCCTGACCTCAAGTGATCTGCCCACCTTGGCCTCCCAAAGTGCTGGGATTACAGGCATGAGCACCACACCTGGCTTGGACATTCTTTTTTTTAAAAAAAGTTACAATTCATTTAATAGCAACTGGTAATCATGAAATTTTCTTATTTTGTTTATACCTTCTTTAAACAGGAGTCTGCAAATTAGCACTGATCTTTTGCAAAACTCATTACATGTACTGCCATTTTTCTTTTTTTTTTTTTTTTTGTGAGACCGAGTCTCGCTCTGCTGCCCAGGCTGGAGTGCAGTGGCCGGATCTCAGCTCACTGCAAGCTCCGCCTTCCGGGTTTACGCCATTCTCCTGCCTCAGCCTCCCGAGTAGCCGGGACTACAGGCGCCCGCCACCACGCCCGGCTAGTTTTTTGTATTTTTTTTTTAGTATAGACGGGGTTTCACCATGTTAGCCAGGATGGTCTCGATCTCCTGACCTCGTGATCCGCCCGTCTCAGCCTCCCAAAGTGCTGGGATTACAGGCATGAGACACCGCGCCTGACCCAGAACTCTTTTAACCATCTTTACAGCAAACTGCAGATTTAAATGGTAGTTCCTTAAAAGCCCAAACTTTGAGGTCCAAAATCTTTGGGAATACCAGTATATTCAGGCATCATTCCCTTTTCCAAACCTGCCCTTGCAATCATATTCATCTCTGAGGCATGCCCAAATTAGGGAATCCACTAGTTTCATGATTTTATCCTTTGCTAATTAAGCTGAGATTTGTCCTCTTGACAAATCTGTGAAAGCCAATGAATAGTCAACAACTTTCGGGAGTTTTGTCAGGGTAGAAAAAATGATGAATTATCCCCATTCCCATCTCGACCTGTGGTCAGTGGTTTTCATACCTTTCTTTTTCCCTCCCTTCTTCCCTATTTTCCTCCCTCC